TGCCCAGAATCGAGTGGTCTGCCCCACGCAAATTTTCAGGTTTTCGGGCCCCTGTTTTGTGGCAGTGCCCCAGCCTCTCAATTTTCGAAAAATTTAGAGGCCCGGGTCTAGGGTAGGAGTTTCAGTTTAGGGTTAGGAATCTCGGGTTTAGGGTAGGGGTTTCGGGTCTAGGGTAGGAGTTTCAGTTTAGGGTTAGGAATTTCGGATTTAGGGTAGGGGTTTCGGGTCCAGGGTAGGAGTTTCAGTTTAGGGGTAGGAATGTCGGGTTGTGGGTAGGGGTTTCGGGTCTAGGTAGGAGTTTCAGTTCAGGGTTTGGGGGGGGGGTTTGGGTTCAGGGCAGGGGTTTTCGAGGGTTTAGGTTTAGGGTTTAGTACACGTACTTGCCGATAATGGTTCAGGGATAGGTAGTGAATAAGTTTAGGGCTTTAGGGGTTGAAAGGTTTGGGTGTAGTTAAAGCTTGGGGTTTCGGGCTAGTTGCGAATAATTACAGGGGTAGAAATTTTAAGGCTCAGGGCTTTTAACGGTGAAGGTTATAATATAGGCACGACGATTAGACGAGGCTACTATATAGAAGTATATTATCAGTAGTAGCACCACTCGTGTCACTAGTACTTCTAGCAGCTAGTACTACGTAATTAATACATGACAGCTATAGCATATTATTCGAGTCGCGGTACTTTCATATCTTATAAGCACAATCATCATTCATCGAAGATTCTTTTCATAATATAAAGTACACACAGAATGGCCGACCTGTTCGTAAGAATCTAGAGCAGCAGAGGTTCACCCGTTCAAGCACCATCTGCTGCTGAGCAGGGCTTAAACCGAGTGTGCCCAAGGCCACAGCATCCACGGACGCTGCCATCTCCGGAGCCTGATCTGATTTGCCATAGTAACACTACTATATCATACGTAGAGTAAGACACAATATCTCGATCAGTCTAGAAACGGGTGCCACCGGTGCTGGCGGCTTTGCAGCTGCTTTCTTCACCATGGCAACAATCCTAGCTGAAACCTAGTGACATCGACCTGCAGCATCAGTGCCGAGCGCGTTGAATCAGATTTGGCTGGCAACCATATCAGGGATTTTAAATTTGCGCTTTTTGACGCTTTTTGACGCTTTTTGGACAGGTTTTGACGCTTTTTGGACAAGGGGTTCGTTCAGGGTAGGGACCATATCCTATGAGGGATTTTAAATTTGCGCTTTTTGACGCTTTTTGACGCTTTTTGGACAGGTTTTGACGCTTTTTGGACACCGGGTTCTGGGGTGGTTTGGGAGCTTCGGGGAGCGGTTTCGACGTGCTGGGATATTCTAAATTCCAGGCTCATGCTCATATATATCTGATACATCCCAGGCCAGCTGATATTCCTGGACAAATAGTCCCGCACAAGCCCAACCCAGCCAGCCCAGCCCTCGATCTAGCGACCACAATTCAATATTTG